AAAAAACTACTTGTAGCTCCTGGTGTTACTACTAGTAACAAGAAGCTACTACTAGCAGGGGCATCGCTACTAGTAGCAGGGGCACCACTACTAGTAACAAAAAGCTACTGGTAGCTCCTGGTATTACGACTGCTAACAAGAAGTTACTACTAGCAGGGGCAGCGCTACTAGTAACAAGGGCATTGCTACTAGTAACAAGAAACTACTAGTAGCAGGGGCACCACTACTAGTAACAAAAAGCGACTTGTAGCTCCTGGTATTACTACTTGTAACAAGAAGCTACTAGTAGCAGGGGCACCGCTACTAGTAACAAGGGCATTACTACTAGTAACAAGAAGCTACTAGTAGCAGGGGCGCCACTACCAGTAACAAAAAGCTACTTGTAGCTCCTGGTACTACTAGTAACAAGAAGCTACTACTAGCAGGGCATCGCTACTAGTAGCAAAGGCATCACTACTAGTAGCAAAAAGCTACTAGTAGCAGGGGCACCACTACTACTAACAAAAAGGTACTTGTTGCATCTGCTACTACTACTAGTAACAAGAAGCTACTACTAGCAGGGGCATCGCTACTAGTAACAAAGGCATTACTACTAGGAACAAGAAGCTACTAGTAGCAGGGGCACCACTACTTGTAGCTCCTGGTATTACTATAAAACAAGAAGCTACTAGTAGCAGGGGCATCGCTACTAGTAACAAGGGCACTACTACTAGTTACAAGAAGCTAATAGTAGCAGGGGCACCACTACTAGTAACAAAAAGCTACTTGTAGCTACTGCAAATAGTACTAGTAACAAGAAGCTACTACTAGCAGGGGCATCGCTACTAGTAGCAAAGGCATTACTACTAGTAACAAGAACCTTTTAGTAGCAGGGGCACCACTACTAGTAACAAAAAGCTACTTGTAGCTCCTGGTATTACTACTTGTAACAAGAAGCTACTAGTCGCAGGGGCATCCCTACTAGTATCAAGGGCATTACTTCTAGTATCAAGAAGCTGCTAGTAGCAGGGGCACCACTACTAGAAACAAAAAGCTACTTGTAGGTTGTGGCATTACTACTTGTAACAAGAAGCTACTAGTAGCAGGGGCATCGCTACTAGTAACAAGGGCATTACTACTAGTAGCAAGAAGCTGCTAGTAGCAGGGGCACCACTACTAGTAACAAACAGCTACTTGTAGCTCCTGGTACTACTATAAAACAAGAAGCTACTAGTAGCAGGGGCATCGCTACTAGTAACAAGGGCACCACGACTAATAGTAACAAGAAGCTACTAGTAGCAGGGGCACCACTACCAGTAACAAAAAGCTACTTGTAGCTCCTGGTGTTACTAGTAGTAACATGAAGCTACTACTTGCAGGGGCCTCGCTACTAGTAACAAGGGCATTACCACTAGTAACAAGAAGCTACTAGTAGCAGGGGCACCACTACTAGTAACAAAAAGCTACTTGTACCCCTTACTACTTGGAACAAGAAGCGACTAGTAGCAGGGGCATCGCTACTAGTAACAAGGTCATTACTACTAGTAGCAGGGGCACCACTACTAGTAACAAAAAGCTACTTGTAGCTCCTTGTATTACTACAAAACGAGAAGCTACTAGTAGCAGAGGCATCGCTACCAGTATCAAGGGCATTACTACTAGTAACAAGAAACTACTAGTAGCCCCGGCACTACTACTAGTAACAAAAAGCTACTTGTAGCTCCTGGTATTACTACTTGTAGCAAGAAGCTACTAGTAGCAGGGGCATCGCTACTAGTAACAAGGGCATTGTGGCTTCTTGTTACAAGTAGTAATACCAGGGGCTACAAGTAGTTTTTTGTTACTGGTAGTGGTGCCCCTGCTACTAGTAGCTTCTTGTTACTAGTAGTCGTGGTGCCCTTGTTACTAGTAGCGATGCCCCTGCTACTAGTAGCTTCTTGTTTTGTAGTAATACCAGGAGCAAAAAGTAGCTGTTTGTTACTAGTAGTGGTGCCCCTGCTACTAGTAGCTTCCTGCTACTAGTAGTAATGCCCTTGTTACTAGTAGCGATGCCCCTGCTAGTAGTAGCTTCTTGTTTTCATAAGAAATACCAGGAGCTACAAGTAGCTGTTTGTTACCAGTAGTGGTGCCCCTGCTACTAGTAACAAAAAGCTACTTGTAGCTCCTGGTATTACTGCTAGAAACAAGAAACTACTAGTAGCAGGGGCACTACTAGTAACAAAAAGCTACTTGTAGCTTCTGGTATTACTACAAAACCAGAAGCTACTAGTAGCAGGGGCATCGCTACTAGTAACAGGGGCACCACGACTACCAGTAACAAGAAGCTACTAGTAGCAGGGGCACCACTACTAGTAACAAAAAGCTACTTGTAG